ATATTTTTAAAAAGTTGCCCATGCATTTTCCAACTACTTGCACAGAATTTTTCAGAATGAAATTTCATCATGAAGTTTGAGGTTTTCTACAGTTGTAAGAATGGACTTGTATATCATTGATCCTCCCTCCCCCCGGCATTTTTTCTGCTGAAACAGCTCAGATGAAGAGTGTTGGTTTCCTTTCTTCTTCAAACCTTTCAATAACAAAAATCTATGATGAAAATGAAAATACTCTCTGGGTTGAGAATGTTGAATTGTAGGAGGGCGTTGCCTCAACCATTTCTGGTATGTGTCAGACACACACACACACACACACACACACCAACAAAAATGGTACCATTTGGGCAATCGGGCTCCTGGACCAAAGCAATTTGCCAGCTCTCATGAACAGGTAACCCCCACCCCACTTTGTATCGATGGCAAGAGAATGTATCATTTGTGAAACTATATTTGATGGATCTCACCTTCATGTTATAGTATCTGCAGCTCAGCACTGGCGAGTTAGAGTTGAACACTACATGGATAACATGTTGATTTCTCCCTTTAATGATGAGCATGTATATCTCTATTTTGCAGGATGGTCCCAAAATTTTATCAGCACATCCTGGCCTTGGCATTTGCCATAAAAGAGATCAACAAGTTTCCCTTGCACAACACCACTATTGGGTTGCACATTGATGATAGCTACTACAATGCAAGGATGACCTACCGTACCACTCTGGAACTGCTCTTCAAATCACCCCATTTTCTCCCAAATTACAAATGTGGCAGCAGAACACAACTAATGGGAGTCATTGGTGGACTTAGGTCTGATACCTCCTCACAGATGGCAGATGTCTTGGGACGTTACAAGATTCCACAGGTGAGGAGTTCATGGGGAAGTATTTTCAAAATGATGAATATTTTATTTTTAGATTTATATTCAATTTATTTGCACAGTCTGTGCAATGGTTTATAATAAAACTAGTAAATAAAGGGGCAGATGGGGATTGTCAACCTGCGAAGGTAGCCCATATTCAAAACAAACAAACAAAAACATCTTGCTCTGCTTTCCTTTGGACCACAACAGCATGGCCAAGAGGAGGGTCTTGTCATCTAGGCAGCCCAGGACCTCCATAAGAACCAGTGTGGTGTAGTGGTTAAGAGTGGTAGTCTCGTAATCTGGGGAACCGGGTTCGCGTCTCCGCTCCTCCACATGCAGCTGCTGGGTGACCTTGGGCTAGTCACACTTCTCTGAAGTCTCTCAGCCCCACTCACCTCACAGAGTGTTTGTTGTGGGGCAGGAAGGGAAAGGAGAATGTGAGCTGCTTTGAGACTCCTTCGAGTAGTGATAAAGCGGGATATCAAATCCAAACTCTAAACTCTAAATATACACTGCCCAGGCTCATAGGCGCCGACTCCATGGGGCTTGAGGGGGCCCGAGCCCCCTCAAAAATTCGTTTGGGGGGGCTCTGCCCCCCCAATAATCTCCGGCGCCCCTCCAGCAGAGCGCCATCGCCGCCCCTCCCCCAGCCCAAAATGCACAGGGAGGGGCGGGCTGCATGCCTCCTGCCCTCCCTCCCGAGCAAAAGCTCCACCCAATTTCCTTTGGAGCTGATTAATAGGCGCAGCACGCTCTCCCCTATTCGCTCACGAGGAGGCGGTGCCACTTTATTTGCATATTCATGAGCTTATTTATTATTCATGAGCTTTCCCGGGCCCCCCCCCCCAATATTTTTTATAAGTCCGCGTCCCTGCCCAGGCTTGCACCCTGGGGAGGTCACTTTGGTGTTGCTAACACAGTGGTTTGGCTTCAACCCCTTGTCTCTCAAGGAAGATGGATGCCAACAAGTAAACCAGAATCTATCAGAAGCACAATCCGTAAACAACAATCACTAATAACAAAACTCTCCTACAGATGCCCTCAGAAAATGTGTGTTGTGAGTAAGAGGATGGATTGCGGTCAATAAATAGATGAAGTCATGGAAGATGGGGAAGGTGGTAGGGTAGTTAAACTGATCATGGAGCTGGAGGACAGTCTTATTAGAATAGCCTGCCTGCCTCACCTTGGAGGTAACATGGCAAGTCTGATTCTGAATGCCCAGGTGGTATTCCACCCCCCCCCCAAGAACTCTCTAGCTCTCTTGGCTGCTTGCCACTCTCCTTCATGCTTTCATAATTTCCTGAGTAGATTATTGCAATAAAATCTGTTTGGGACTGCTATTGAACAAATATACAGAACTCACAGGCTGGACACCAGTCTGATGTTTGTTTAGAGGTGTACACTACGTAGAATGGAACATTGTGTCTATATTTGTTTCTGGGTGCAATTCCAACTACTGACTCTGGCCTTGGAAATAATAAAAAATATGCATCTAGAATTTATTGCAAGAATAAAACCATGAAATGATAAGTGTTGGACAGCAGTGATTCCTTACAGAGTCTTCAGATAAATACCTGTCCATTACTTCTTTTTATTTTAGTTTTCTTATGGCTCATTTCATCCAGCAGTGAATGATCACATTGGGTTCCCCTCCTTTTACCGCATGGTTCCCAATGAATCTCTTCAGTACCAAGGAATTGTCCAGTTACTTCTGCATTTCAAATGGAAATGGATTGGTTTGATGAGTTTTGATGATGATGGGGGACAGCATTTCCTGCAGACTATAGAAGCCATGCTTTCCGAGAACGGCATCTGCTCAGCCTTCACCAACAAAGTTCCAGCTAATATCCGTATATTGGAAATGGGCGATATGAACAAATACATATTGGAAAGTATTCCTATTTTTAGGGACAGCAAAGCCAATGCAATCGTTATATATGGGAAAACGTCAAACCTCAGGTGGTTGGCTGCCATTATCTTTGGGATCAAAGAGTCGCTTGCTGGTAATCTTTACTACAATGCAAAGGCACCTTTCGGGAAAGTATGGATTACGACAGCCCAGATTGATTTAGCACTCTTTCTATTCCAAAGAAACTGGGATATCCAGGTGTTCCACGGAGCCATCTCCTTCACAATTCCTTCAAAAGACATTCCAGGTTTCCAAACATTTGTTCAGAGTGTGAGTCCTACCCAACCGAAAGGGGATGGCTTTATCAAAGATTTCTGGGAGCAAGCGTTTGACTGCTTTGTTTTAAATTCTGGTGGCTCTACAGATATTGATGGAGCGTGTACTGGTGAGGAGAAGCTGGAGAACCTTCCTGCACAATTTTTTCAGTTGAAGATGACAGGCCATAGCTATAGTATCTATAATGCTGTTTATGCTGTAGTCCATGCCTTGCGTGTCAAATATTCAGCTAGCTCCAACCACAGAAAAATTAAAAGTAGAGGCAAGCTGCATTCTTGGCAAGTGGAGCCCTGGCAGGTAAATGCCTCCACACTCACAAACATCTATGACTTGGGCTAGAGCATTATAGTGGCACATAGAATAGTATGCATGGATTTAGTTTTTAGCTCTCTTCAAAAAAATAGGTCCAAGCAGCTAGTCAGACTCATCACATCAATTTCCTTTCTGTAGTTTCCATATATTGTTTAGACCAGTGGTGTCCAAACTTTTTTCAAAGAGGGGCAGATTTGATGAAGTGAAGGGCCGTGGGGGCCAACCAAAGTTGTTGACCTTTTGGGGGGAGTTGGAGTTGTTGAGCTTCTTTTAGGATTGAAGTTGTTAAAGTTTTTTTAAGATTTTACCCCAGGAAATAAACTGCCACAGAGGCCAGATTAAACCGGCTGGCGGGCCAGATTAGGCTCCTGAATTGGACTTTGGACATGCCTGGTTTAGACAAACCTGCTCAGGTGCTTAGAAAGTTAAGGTAATTTGAATCTGTTTCACTATTTTAACTTTAGTGTGTTTTGAAGTTGGGCGGTAATTTTTCCTTGATTTCCTTGTCTCATCTTTTTGTAAACTGCTTTGCATATGCCCACTTTTGCCACCTAGCTCTCCTGCCACTGGCAACGTATCCCCAAGAAGGTGTTCCCACAAAATGACACAGCTCTCAGACCGGGAAAAACCCAACTATTGTGTATTACTTTGTTCTTACCTAAGGAAATTGAATTAGCCCCAATTAATTTGCTAGGATATATTTCTGAGCAGATATGCTTAGCATGAGCTGGAAATGGTTTGCGTATATCTTGCTGAGAATATTCTGTTTCCTATGGGGCTCTCTGTTCTATTTCTCTCCTCGTGTAGCTCCATTCATTGCTTAGGAACAACCCACTCAACAACACTGTTGGAGATGAAATTATGTTCAATGAACATGGGGAATTTGTAGCTGGATTTGATGTTACAAACATAGTCACTTTCCCAAACAATTCCTATGTCAGAATCAAAGTGGGAAGGCTGGATCCTCAGGCTGCTCCGGACAAAGCACTCACCATCAAAGAGGAGAAACTTGAGTGGCACAGAGACTTGTCTCAGGTGCAGAGCATTGGCAGAGCATCTCGTATGAGATCATTGACATCCATCCATGGGCTGGCATCCGTTTAAAATAAATGGATACAAATTTTGTTTCATACAATCAATGACATTCATTGGCTTGGCATAATATTAGCACATACTTCCAGTTAATTGCCTATGCTTACTGTTATGCTTACTGTGTTATCAAGCTGAGAACTGGGACTTCTGAAAGACTCTGAGCTGGGATATATTTGTTCAGGAAGTCCCTAGACCTAGATTTTGAACCTGGCTTTGTAGCAAACAGGAAGCCACTGCAGAAGATTGGTGCTGGTCACTAAGAGACTGTAGATATTTTAGCCCATCTTATCTTGCTATTTCTAATCCCCCCCCCTTTGGTACTTTCTAGTTATTGAAAAAAATATAGTACAGGGTTTGCCATGGACAGAGATTTCTTTATCATGTTTTCCTCTTAATCCAATAGTAAGCATTGCCCACACTCTCTGCACTGTTTCTGTAGTCAAATATGTTAATGTTTAAAATTATCCAATCCTTCTTTATAAAATAAAAACAATTAATTCCATGGAAAATTATTCCTTTGCCAATGTATAGGTGCCTCCATTCTCCTTATGTAATGATAAATGCTACCCTGGGTACAGCAGAAAAAAGAAGGAGGGGATGAAATTTTGTTGCTACGACTGTTATCCATGCCCAGAGGAAATGATCTCAACACAGGAAGGTAGGAGACATGTTTAAATATTTCTAATGAAAAGTATAGACAGTTCTTGGAGGCGGATGCATGAGATTTAGCCTGTACATTATTTTCAATAGTGTTTTTATGGATGGAAAGGAGATGGAAAAGTTGCTTCAGCAAAAAAACAACAACCCAACAGCATATTGTATGACCCTTTAATAATGTTTGAAACAACTGATCATTTGTTGAAATCTTGGAACTCTACCAAAAAGAGGGGGGAAGGGGAGAAAATCATAAATCTGCACAATAGAAAGCTGGATCACTATGGCTGAATTAACCCAAAGGAGCCAGGCAAGGGGTCTAGTGAGCTTTTGACGCTGCCTAAAGCAATGACAGTAGGGACACAGGTAGCGCTGTGGGTTAAACCACAGAGCCTAGGTCTTGCCGATCAGAAGGTCGGCAGTTCGAATCCCCGTGACGGGGTGAGCTCCCGTTGTTCGGTCCCTGCTCCTGCCAACCTAGCAGTTCAAAAGCACACCAGTGCAAGTAGATAAATAGGTACCGCTCCAGCAGGAAGGTAAACAGCATTTCCATGTGCTGCTCTGGTTCGCCAGAAGCGGCTTAGTCATTCTGGCAACATGACCTGGAAGCTGTACACCACCTCCCTCGGCCAATAAAGCGAGATGAGCGCCACAACCCCAGAGTCGGTCACGACTGGACCTAATGGCCAGGGGTCCCTTTACCTTTTAAAGCACTGACAAAGATGGGGAATAGTAATAGTTATATGTCTATATATATACTGTATGTTATATACTGTAAAAGGAAAGGGAAGGCTCGGGAAATCTCAATTGAAATCAACCCCTTTTCCCTATTTCCAAATAGTCTGCCACACCACAAGTCTTTCTTTACTCAATAAGGTTAAAGAACCCTGGCAAACCGCATGTTCCTTATGCAGAATGAATGAGAATTAATCCCTGGAAACAATTACCAAGACTGCAAATACTGATTTAGGTGGACTCATAGAAACTTGGTTCTGATTACTGATGTTATCTTTAATATATATATATATATATATATATATATATATATATATATATATGCAGGTTTTGGTGTCCTCGGGTGTCTTCCCGTGTAAAAGTTGGGGTGTCTAGGCGACGTTTCGACGAGGTGTCTAGGCGACGTTTCGACGAGGTCTCACTCGTCATCTTCAGGCTGGTGCTTTCGGCTTCTTGTTACTGGAACAGAGCGGGATCTCAGTGTTTGAGTTCCTATAAATACTGTTGAGGAGGTGTGGTGTATAGCCTCCAATGTTCTGGGCAGAGAGGAAGTTCCCAGGCTAGTGTGCCTTTTCTTCTTTTGTTCCTTAATTACTTGAGGGATATCTTGGCACCTCCGGATGCTGCACCCCCCTGCAATCCCTACACAGATCTGGCTGGCACAGGCCACAAAACCACAGCTCGCCCCTATACACGAAGCCAAGCCAGAGCACAACTAAGTGCAGTACAGCCATCTTCTCAGAAAAACTCTTCACAAAGTTCAAGAGGTCAAGACACGAAGGCTTTAGCAACTAATCCACACCTAATGACCCACCTAAGTGGTACTCAGGATATCACTCAAGAAATCACTCAAGATATCCCGCTCTGTTCCAGTAACAAGAAGCCGAAAGCACCAGCCTGAAGATGACGAGTGAGACCTCGTCGAAACGTCGCCTAGACACCCCAACTTTTACACGGGAAGACACCCGAGGACACCAAAACCTGCATTCCTGTACCCGTGAAAATCTACGAAAGCATATATATATATATACACACACACACACACACACATATCCTTTTCTTTCAGATTTAGATTACTGTACCAGATGCCCCGAAGATCACTTCCCTAATAATCATAGAGATCACTGCATCCCCAAGATTCAAAGTTTTCTTTCTTTTGAAGATACTTTGGGCATTGCTTTGACTTCCCTGGCTCTTCTCTTTGCCCTGATCACAGCTCTGGTGCTGGCAGTCTTCATCAAGCAGCGGGACACTCCCATCGTCAAAGCCAACAACCGGAGCCTCACCTACCTTCTCCTTGCCTCTCTCCTCCTCTGCTTCCTCTGCGCTTTGCTATTCATCGGACAACCCAAGAAAATCACCTGCCTCCTCAGACAAACAGCTTTTGGCATCATCTTTTCGATTGCTGTCTCTTCCGTTTTGGCTAAGACTATTACAGTGGTTGTGGCTTTCATGGCCTCCAAGCCAGGAAACATTTTCCGGAAATGGGTGGGGAAAAGATTGGCGCATTCTGTTGTATTGTGTTGCTCCCTCGTTCAAGTTGCCGTTTGTGCTCTTTGGTTGGGTTTTTCTCCCCCATTCCCAGATTTGGACAGTCACTCAGTGTATGGAGAAATCATAACTGAATGTAATGAAGGGTCAGTCACCATGTTCTACTGTGTCCTGGGTTATATGGGCTTTCTAGCCACTGTCAGCTTCACGGTGGCTTTCCTTGCTAGGAAGCTGCCAGACAGTTTCAATGAAGCCAAGTTCATCACTTTCAGCATGTTGGTCTTCTGCAGTGTGTGGCTCTCCTTTGTTCCAACTTACCTGAGCACCAAGGGGAAATACATGGTGGCCGTGGAGGTCTTCTCCATCCTGTCATCTGGCTCAGGTTTACTGAGCTGTATCTTTGCTCCTAAATGCTACATTATTGTTTTTAGGCCTGATCTGAACAAAAAGGAGCAGTTAATACGGAGAAAACATTAACGTTTCAAATATTCAACCTATTTCCTTCATTTCTATTTTTGTTTCCTCTAAAATATCAGATAAACTCATATGTGGCTTTATACAAAGCATGATTCTGTGCTATCCTGCTGAAACCTTTGATCTACTCTCCTCACATGCATCAAAGAAAGAAAGTGTTGAAATGGCGATTTAAAATGTTTACCATGCCACAAAATTTTCCTTACAGCAAAACCCTTGTAGGGTGGAGTTTATTGTACCTTTATTGAGATTATTAAGTGGTGTACAATATATATATATATATAAAACCTATATCACTGAGGAAAATTTATAACCAATAACAAAACTGCATATAAAAACAGATCTGTAATTGTATCCTTTTTCATGTGATCTATGCTCAACACCTCATGACAGAGCTAGCTGGATACATTCTCACTTAATCATTAGACTTCCAGAGTTCAACTCTATGCTCAGTTTGTAGGGCATGAGACTTATAACCTCAGGGTCATGGGTTCAACCCCACTTTGGGCATAAGATTCCTGCATTGCAGTGGTTGGACTAGCTTATCCTCATGGTCTTTTCCAACTCTATGATTCTGTGGGAACAAGAATTCCTACAGATGAGACAGGCTTTCATCTTATGGATCAGGGAAAGCCTGCACAAAATCCCAGCGTTGTTGTTGCTGCTGCTGCGTGTTCTTTACAAGATTTCAGTACATTCTCATACCCCCAAACACCCTAACAGAGACATATAGAAGAGGAGGAGGAGGAGGAGGAGTTTGGATTTGATATCCTGCTTTATCACTACCCGAAGGAGTCTCAAAGCAGCTAACATTCTTCTTTCCCTTCCTCCCCCACAACAAACACTCTGTGAGGTGAGTGGGGCTGAGAGACTTCAGAGAAGTGTGACTAGCCCAAGGTCACCCAGCAGCTGCATGTGGAGGAGCGGGGAAGTGAAGCCGGTTCACCAGATTACGAGTCCACCGCTCTTAACCACTACACCACACTGGCGTGAGAAAATACCAAGACGCTGATTATTTTCAAAAACATTACTGTGTGACACCCCACCATTGTACTTGAGAGCTTGCAGTCACAAGGACACCTTCCTTCATGTGTGGTGGGAGTGTGAAAAATGAACAACTTATTGACTATATTCATGAATAGAGCATATAGACAATATAAGGACAGAAAAACCTTATAACTATTAAAATAGAGTGTTTTTTTGCTGCTCATAGATCTGCATTGCTGTGCTACGGAGACATGACTGAAAGCTTAGTGTGATAGGAGCCCAAGTTTTTAAGACTGACACTGGTCTGGCCTAGGCTGAGTGTTGATGTAGAGATTAAAATAAAAGCCAACAGCAAAACAACAAGTATAGTTGACTAGGAAGTTGAAGTTCAGTTTTATCAGGGTATAATTTTACTCCTGAAGGATCACATTGCTGTACAGATTGATACTCAGGTGACCTCCCAGGAATCAAAAGGTTTGTGTCTCTTTTGTGGGAAATATATGCTTGTGTAGCAAGGCATCCCCTCCACACTCTTCTGTCCTCCCCAATTCTAAGAATAAGAGACATGACAACCAATATTTTTGTGAAATCAGACCACAACTTTATTGACAACAGATGTAAGAGGTTTGCCCTAAGCAGGAAGGGCTGTAGAGACGGAAAGTTCCTGGGCTTATTCCAATCTCTCTCTCTTCCTTGCCTCCCTCCCCCTCAGTCACCTCGTCCACATCTTCTGCTCCCAGGCTTCCCCCTCCCTCTGGGGAACTTGAGACCTCTGGTTCGTCCCTGACACCCCATGCACACCATTCAGGTTCATGCCCCAGGTAAGTCGTTTTGGTGCTGCTAACGCAGTGGTTTGATTTCACCTCTGGATGCACTCCCTATTGTCTCTCAAAGAGATGGATGCCAACCAACCTTTATCCCACCCTGTCATCAACGGATGAAAGGTGGACTAAGTCACTAAGTCACCAAATTAAGAAAGAAAGAAAGAAAGAAAGAAAGAAAGAAAGAAAGAAAGAAAGAAAGAAAGAAAGCTTAGCTCCCAGTGCAATTAAAATTAATCATGATTTTCAATGGAAATAACTGAATCAACAATAAAGTGCCATTTACTACAAGGGAATGCACCATTTCAACCTATGTTTAATAGGAAGTAAATTACTTTGAGTTCAACATGATTCCCCTACAGGTGTGATTAGGTTTACATTGAAAATAGACTTGAATCGTAAATTTGATTCAAAGAGCTGGCTTGAGACTATTTGGGCTTAAAGTTCTTTACTTTTTTCCTCATAAGTTGTTCTTTGTTGTTCAGTTCTGGTCTCATCAAAATGATGTAACATTTTGGGGAAAAGATGCAACCCAGTAGCCCCAAGCTGGAGGCTAAGATAGAGAAGATCTCCACAGCCACCATGTACTTCCCCTTGGTGCTCAGGTAGGTTGGAATAAAAGACAACCAAACACTGCAGAACACCATCATGCTGAAGGTGATGAACTTGGCTTCATTGAAGCTGTCAGGCAACTTCCTGGCTAGGAAGGCCACAGCAAAGCTGACAATGGCCAGGAAGCCCATAAAGCCCAGGACTGAGTAGAACATGATAGTGGAACCTTCATTACACTCCAGTATAATTTCTTTAGTCATGGAGTGCATGTCCATATCTGGGAATGGAGGAGAAGTTACCAGCCACACTGTGCAAATGGTGGCTTGAATAAAGGAGAAGCATAGAACAATGGAGCTGGCCAGATCTTTCCCCATCCATGTCCTCATATTGGATCCTGGCTTGGTGGCCATGAAAGCGAGAATCACAATGACAGTTTTGGCCAAGATGCAAGAAATTGACACTGAGAAGATGATGCCAAATGCAGCTTGTCTAAGGAGGCAGGTCAGCTTTCCAGGTTGGCCAATAAATAGCAAAGCACAAAGGAAAGAGAGAATGAGGGAGATGAGGAGAGTGTAGGTGAGGTTCCGGTTGTTGGCTTTGACGATGGGAGTGTTTCGGTGCTTAACAAAGATCCAAAGCACCCAAACTGTGGAGAAAGAAAAAGTGAGGGCAGAAATGGCAATGCTGTAGCCTAAAGATTCTTCATAGGACAAGAAAGTTATATATTTTGGAATGCAAAAAGTTTTGTTATTATTTGGATAATGATCTTCTTGACACTGAAAGCAGACGTCCATGTCTGAAAAAGAAAAGTAAAACAAAGTCAGTGCATGTTCTTCTGTCTCTTCAGGCCTAGCATACAAATGATGACATTTGTTTCATAATTAGAGTCGATTTCCTAACATGCAATGTCTCCTTACAGATGTAGTTATGGGCTTAAAATATGTAGGGGACTGGTCATGAATGCACTGGTCCCATCTCCCATATCCCTGTGCATGTTGACCATGCCCACTCACTGTTACATCATATATTGAAGCAGCAAAGGGGTATTCCAGGTGCATTTGACTCAATGTGCTTCAGTGGCATAGCAGGGGTTGCCAGCACCCGGGGCAGCATGGAGGGGGTGGGAGGGAGGGAGGGAAATGGAGTACACATGCACATTCAACCACCTTGGGCTTTTGAACACCTATAATGTGTATGTATATAGATAGACTGTAGATATAATTCCTAAACACAAAAAGGATCTCCCAAAAAATAATTAAACCACCAGAAAGACCCAAATATGTAAAATGTATATTCTCCTTTCCGTAACAATATAGCATACAAATAGATAACCAGAAATAAGTCCACTTCGACTTTAGACCTTATAAAGTCTGCATGCAGATTCTTACCAGCACATCCAGACATTGTTATATGTAATCATCATTATATACTCTTTATAGTCACCAAACACAGAGAGAGATGGCTGATATGAGCATTTTGGTCAACCTTACTACGCACACAAATAATTCCCAAATTATGGGTATCCATTTATGTCATCCCTGGCCATTCTGAAACAACCATATTTTCTGTATTGCCTCTGATAATTTTCCCACTTTGAATGAATTTTTAGACCTGAGTGAAATGAATTTCTAATACAACTGTATGCCCAAATACTTGACATATTCCATAAAAAAAAATATCAATTCTTACCTATCTGGTTTGATACCTTTCCTTCTGGACATGGAAGACAATCATAGCAACAAGGTGGCTTTCCCTCTTTCTTCTTTCTACTGTAACCCAAAGAGCATTTGTCATTGCATAGAGAAAGAGGTTGAGCCTGTTGATAAATGAAAGAGGGGCTTCTTTTAACAGTTACGGGAAAATAGTGTTCTGAAAGCTTTGCAATATTTTCTTAAGAAATGGGTGGCTGAAGAAGAAGGGGTTGCCATTTATTTGTGCCTACCAATGTATTTTGTGAAAAATTAGTCTAGTGGCTGCTGGCTGGACAGAGTTTCGAAAGCTACTGTGGTAAGTTTATCAATGAAATTCCTCAAATATCCCCTTTCCTAGATCCCATAAGTCCCCAACATTTTCACAATTTGAGAATGCAGTCATACATCTTGTTTGAGGGGTGGGAGGAATAGTACCAAGTGATGCAGCTAAATAAGGAAGTGGGTGATGAAAGGGGGGGTTGCTTTTCCAGCTTCGCTTTCAGAGCACTTGACATGCAGAATTTGGCAGCATCACTGGACTAGGCAATGAACTGTTTTTGCTTTGTTTTGAGAGGTTTTTTAAATGCAGAAATTAAGTGCATACATGTAGAAGTGTGTACAGGCCCTAGTCACTGGTGGGCGAAGGTGGGGGCAGGCGGGGGGCGGCTGCCACAGGTTCCATCCAGGGGGTGACATCGCGGCTGCCCCGCTCCCCGGGATGCTCACTGCACAGCCCCCCTGATGCATGCTGTAGCATTCACACGCGCTATCCACTCCCCTCACCAGTCCTCCAACTCCAACAAGACCTGGTAGGGAGAGGGAGAGGGACGTGAAAGGGTTTGCGGAATACGAGTCAAACAGCAGTATGCTTCCACCACCTCCTATTCAGGATCAGTCCCCCAAAAGGAATCCAAGAGGAGGATCACCTTTCAGTATTTACCGGACTGCCCCA